GGTGATGTGGAACTGGTTACCTTATATGAGTTACAGAAGTACTAGTTTCAGTAGTACCCAAAGCAAGGGTGAGCAAATATGGTCCTTCAAATGTTGCTGGACAGCCAATCCCACAATCTTTTGCCACTGGCTACACTACCAAGAACTGATGGGAGGCGCAAGACAAACACATTGGGAGAGCCACAGCTCCCCGCTCCAATCTAAGGATTACTACAGATATAGCACTCACTATTTCTAAAGAATCAGGATGAGAGAATCTAACTGTAGTGTCTACCAATTCACAGCTCAACAGAGCACACAGTGATTCTTAGGAATGTGATGAACGCACATACCAGTCTTATTTGGCCACAGGTCTAGCCACATATTTTAGCTCTTTGGGTCATGAAAGCTTCCTGTCTATAATCATCTGGACATGATTTTTCATCAGCACAGCTGATCAGGATTCAACCTTGCTTTTAAGGTCCATATTATGTGAAGTGACGTACAAATTTTACCATACTGAACACACCAAATCTTATTTGATTTCACAGGTTAAGCAGCGTCAAATCTTTTTAGTACTTAGATAGAATGTCATCAAATAACAGGGATTCCCAGGTACAGCTATGAAAGAATCCTGCTGGAACAAACATCACTGGACTGGAGAGTGATGCCACTGCCAGCCAGAGTTGACAATACTGGGCAAGACAGAGAACAGTCTGATCCAGTATAAGGGATCTGTCCATGGTCCAAAACCCACTGCAAAAATAATCCAGTTTGAGACCACTTTAATTGCCCAGGCTCAATGCTGTAGAATTCTGGAAACTAGTTTTATGAGACATTTAGCCTTCTCTGTCAGAGAGCTCTGGTGCTATAATAAACTACAATTCCTAGGATTCCCTAGCACTGAGCCAGGGCAGTTAAAGCAGTCTCAAAGTGGATTACTTCTGCAGTGTGTTTTGGACCTATGTTCCTAAGACAGCTGGGCTTTGTAGAAAAGCAGATGTCAAATGAAGCCAAATGAATCACCTTGACTACAATCCCTGAAGGGAGATGCTTCAGGACCACACAATTGCTGGTCTTATTTGTTGCTTGGCCTCCGGGTCCAGAGCCACGTACAAACTGCTCTTCCAGATCTGCTTCATTTAGAGGAAAGAGATTGTTGGAGCTCTTCTTGCTCACTGTGATGAGCAAAGATCCAGGCCCCTGAGGTACTAAAAAATGCTCCTTCCCCCAGAGTCTTGGAGTTCGAGAGAAACCGCTCAGTCTGGTCAATGAGCTTTTCAAAAGCAGTAAACTTGAAGGAGGCATTAAAAAAACCCAGGTTCACAGACTCTAATTCAGAAGGAGAGGGCAGAAAGGCATGGATTAGTAGCATTCAGGAAATCCGGCTTACTGACTAAATGTAATGTTATGTACATTTTATATGCATGAAAATAAATGCTTTCAGGAGAATAAAATTTCAGTACCTCTTTTTCAGAGAACAGAGCCATTTCCTATGATCCCATACACTTTATGGAACCATATGCCCCTGCGCTTTTGACACACACACCCCCACTCCTACAACTCCAGTGTGATGGGGAATGTCAGCTGTCCCTTTTCATTAACCCTGCTGACTTAGCATTACAGAGTTACATTCCAGGATGGATTTAGTGTCAAAAGAAATGATATAATGTCTGGTGATTTGACCTCACCCGCTATTGTCAAAGCCTACCCATATCACCAAAGGATAACAACATGTCATGCAACATGAGCAGGGCTGCTAGATGGTTACTCTGCTACTACTGTCCGAGCCTTTCCCAACCGCTGAACCAGAGCTGGAAAGTTACTTTTTAGAAGAACCTAACATGCTGAAAGCCATCCGTATCTGAACAGCGGGTAAGATAATGTTCTATATTCCAGAGCATTATCCTTTCACTGCTGTATTATGCATGGCTCCAGCGTATTATGCTCATTCTTCTTAAAAGATATTTTTGAAGCACTGCCCTGAACTCTTCTCTTTACTCTTCCGCAAACTGAAGTATCACCTTGCTGGTTAGCAGTATAAGGAGATTTTGCAACTATTGGCTGAAGTGAAGTGAATCTTTTCTCAGAAAACACTAGACACCAACCTAGTCACAATTATCTGTTGTCAATGAAACGAGAAATAAACCTTTCTTAAAGAAAATAAACATTTAGAGCCAGCGTGATGTAGTGGTTTGAGTGCTGGACTATGACCCTGGAGATCCATAAGTTGGAAACAATGAAGGCACACATCAACACTATCAAGTTTAGCTATGTTTGTTATAAAAGTTGTAAGCCACACTGAATGCCAAAATGGGGGGAAAGGCAGGATATATATAAATAAAAAAAAGTAGTATCTCTCTCTCTTTTTTTTTTGGAGAACAGTCATTCTGTTTGACTAACGCAGCAGCAATATTAAGACGCCACATCTGAGTGTCAAATAGTGGCCACTGGGCTAGGACAAAATCACAAACCATGGTATAGTACTGACATGGAAATATATTATTCCAGCAGCACAACCACACAAGCCACCTGATACACATATTGGCTTTTGTCTCAGGTAGGTCCTGAATTCTACTCAAAGGGCCCCTGTGAAACGTGGAAATCATTGATTCATGGGAGATGGAGACACTTCAGCATTCTCAGTGAGTCACAATAAGCACTTGGTGGCAGTAGAAACCAGGAGACAGTGGCAAAGCCAGATCATAGTGCTTTTGAAAGTGCTGAAGAACTCAGTACTACTACTGTTTTGTTTGGACAAATTCCTTCCTTAGTAAGGAGTTGTGGGTAAACAGAGGTACTCTTCCATTTTGCTAACATGACTCCAAATATATACCTTTGGGACTCATAAATTCCCTCTGACAAAGAAGCAGAATCACTTACAAATTAATAGGCCAAAGAATAAAACTCTTCCTCAGGACTGCCAGGTTATAGCTTGGAGGTCTGCATTACACCTTTATGTTTTCTGACAATACAGCAGAATGCAGAGTCAGCTACCTTCTCTTCCATGTATTCACTCCTCTGCTTTGTCCCCTTCCTCTCATACATGCTGCAACAAATACAGTTCCAGGTGAGCTCCTCAGCAGAGTCTAGGGCAGGGGTAGGCAACCTTTTTGAGCCAGGGGCTGGGTTGCTGTCCCTCAGACAATTGGGGGGCCGAAGCACAAAATATATAAATAAATTTAAAAAAAAATGCATGCACACTCTCTCAGCCCCAGAAAAGCCATGGCAAAACCCCTATGGAGATTTTGACAAGAAAACCCCAAGAACAAGTAATAACAACAATAATCCATATCAACATGGCGGGCGGCGGGGGGCCGCATCCGGCCCCCGGGCCTTAGGTTGCCTACCCCTGGTCTAGGGCATGCATAAGAAGAGATGAAGTGGGGAGGGTCAAAAGACCCCATTGGTGTTTTATGCCCCAGTGCATTTGCACTGTGAAATACTCAGTGCAAACCTCTGCTTCCCATTATAGTGCAAAACATTCAATCAATAGACCAATCATGCCAAATAACTTTCGTTACATTTTAAACTTCTGGGTGTTTATGTAATTTTATACTGTTTTTAGCTAGTTGATTTTAACTGTCTTTTAATTTTTGCAACGTTTTAAAATGGTATATACATGAAGCTGCTTTGCTTTTATTTCTGAGCCACCTTGGGTCTCTTTCTGGAAGAAAGGAGGCACAGAAATGAAATAAATATTTTATTTTATGTTTTATTTTATGTTTGAATGTCTGTGTCTAATGTATGTATGTATTGTTATGTAGTTGGTTTTAATTGAATAAAAATGTTTAATAATAATAATAATAATAATAATGATATGAAATAAATAAACTTTGAAGTGAGATTGATGCTGCCAAGTAAAGAGAATAGCTGAGAAGAGAGAGGGAAAAAATCTGGACCCTTTTGAAGTCCATACAGGAAAATTTTGGCAAGGGTATTATTATTATTATTTATTATTATTATTATTATTACTACTACTACTACTACTACTACTATTATTATTATTAAAAAAGTGTACACCGACAGTTAAATGTACAATACAAATGATAACAAGGGACAAAATCTGGCCCTTCAAACATATTAATATAAAGACAGACCTTTCGAAGGCTTGTTCCTCATTACTCTTTTTCCCCTCAACCTCATTTTCCCCTCAACCTTCCCTCCCTCTGCAGTGAAGTCACAATCCACTGTTTGCCACATCAGTTGCCAGGGAAATAAATGAAATAGGGAAAAAGAAAGGGTCCAGCATGCCTTCCACTGCAGGGCCTGCTAGGAAGACTCGGCTGCAGCATTGCAAGTGGATGCTCAAGGAAGCCGAATTTGGTAGCTGCTCATCATGGTAAGAAACAGTGGATGCTGATCTCTTAGCACAGGGTTTACTAAATGAGAGGCAAAACAGAAGACTCCATCAGAAAGCACAGGAAGTCCTGGCACTACTACTCTGTTGTCTCTGTTACCTCCAGTCTTCCCAGCAATGCAGTCTGGATGAATGTATGTTCCCACTGCTTCTAGCAATTTTGTTGTTCTTGAACAGAAACCAGCCGGGCTAGTCTGTAGAATCAGTCTGTTGGGAGATCTTGTAGCCCCTTTGAGCTGCAATGAAAGAAAGAAATTGGCAGCAGGAGCTTTCGGAGACTTAAGGGCCTAAGCAGACTGCCAGAAATAGTGCATATTAAATTGAGGCACTGCCCTGGCTCAGTACTAGGAAATCACAATAAACTGTAGTTTATTGTGGCACCAGAGCTCTGTCTCAGAAAAAAATACAATTCCCATGACTCCCTAGCACCGAGCCAGGGCAGTGCCTCAATTTAATGTGCACTATTTCTGGCAGTCTGCTTAGGCCTTTAAGTCTACTTCCTCAAATGCATCTGAGGAAGCAGATTTAAATCTAGGAAAGCTCATGCTGCCCACTTTAGTTTGTTGTTGCTGTTAACTACCCTCAAGTCTATACCAACTAGTGGCCCAGATTTGACACTCCAGTACTAACCTTTTAAGGAGCCCTTGCCTATCCTCCGAGAGCCAGCGAAGTGTAGTGGTTTGAGCATTGGACTACAACTCCAGAGACCAGGGTTTGAATCCTGGCTCGGTCATGGAAGCCAACATGGAAGTGAGGCCTAAGAGCTCTCTGTCTGAGAATTCTAAGTGCCTTTCCTTAAACTGCAAATCCCAGAATGCCACAGGAGGCAGCCAGGGCAGTTAAAGTGGAACAGCAACGCTTTCAGAGTGTAGTGCGAGAACCTACTAGGCTTTACAGTTCCATTGGTACCTGCTTTCTTCCAATGGATTCAGGCCTCCCCTTTCTCTTCACAAGAGCCCTGTGAGGTAGGTCAGGCTGAGAGAGAATGACTGCCTCAAGGCTGCCTTGGGAGTTTTATTGTCCCAACGCAAGACCAATATCCCCCAATAGCTTTATGGCCAAGCTAGGAAGGCCAAGCCCTACCTCCCCTTTCCGCCTTTCTCTTACCTCAAAACAGGCCTCGTCCCCAACCCTTCTACGCATGCGTCCCTTTTGGCTCAAACACGACGAAGCTAAAAGACCCCTGTGGCCAAAAAAAAAAAAAAAAGACGCTTAATCCCAATAGGACGACGGGAGAGCCCGCCCACACACCTCACGAACCAATCGCAGAGCAGGACCCCTGATAGACGTCACTCGCCTTTTCCACCGCTTCGGAGGCTCGAGAGGCGCGAGCCCGGAAAAGCCAATGCCCGCCACAATTTTCTTGCCCCGCCCATTTTGGGCACGCGCGTCCACCCGCCCCCTCCCGCGCCCTAACAGCCAATAGAAACGCACCGTCGGCTCCAGGGCAGCCAATCCTAGTTCGCGTAGAGCAGCTTCCCGAGCCTTTGGCGTCGTCCTGAAGCGCTTCGAATCTCAACCGCCAATCGTGAGGCGGGCGAGGAGCTTGTTTACAGACTGCGGTTCCCCGGAAGGGAGAAGGAAGCGCAGGAAGCTTTCTGCCTCGCCGCCATAAAGGCCCGCGAAGCGAAATGCGGGTAAGGCAGCGACGGCGGAAATACCTCACAAATAACGGCTTCGGGGCTGCGCTTGAAAAGGGAAGGTCAGGTTTCGGGGGGGAGGGGGCTTGCCGCCCTCGTTTTCACTATGGTGCACGCCCCCAAATAGTCGAGTGACAGTCGTTTGAGCCAATGGGAGGGTCGCTGCCTCTTGGAGGGGGCCAATAAGGGTGAGGTTTGTGGAATGAAAGGAGAAAGGGGCGGGGAATGGACTTGTTATTTGATAGCCCAGTTCTGGGTTCGAATCCCGCCCGAGGCCAGTTCCTCTGAGAGGGCTTTAAATTTCAGTTTCTGCCCCTGGCAGGGTTGTTGGGGGGCTGAACGGAGAAAAGGCCAAGGCAGATATGCTCCCTTGAGCTTCTTGAAAGGATGGGGTGGTTTGGGAAGAGCCCAGAAAAATTGGGGAGAGGTGCTGCAGAGAGAAGAGAATTAAAATAATAATAATAATTCATTGCTCCCTTGAGCTTCTTGAAAGGATGTTGTTGTTTGGAAAGAGCCAAGAAAAACTGGGGAAAGGTGCTGCAGAGAGAATTATTATTATTATTATTATTATTATTATAGTTCTCTTCCTAATTATTCTTTTTATTATCATTCTGTGCTCTCTTGAGCTTCTTGAAAGGAGGCTGTTGTTTGAAAAGAGCCAAGAAAAATTGGAGAAAGGTGCTGCAGAGAGAAGAGAATTAAAATTATTGTTGTTCTTATTTCAATTCTCTTCCTAATTCTTTTTTTTTAAAATTATTATTCTGTGCTCTCTTGAGCTCCATGAAAGGATGCTGTTGTTTGAGAAGACCCAAGAAAAAATTGGGGAAAGGTGCTGCAGAGAGAGGAGAATTAAAATAATATTAAGCAGGATAATAATAACAATAATTTTAATTATCTTCTCTTCTGTCTGCAGCACCTCTCCCCAATTTTTCTTGGCTCTTTTCAAACAGCATCTTTTCAAGAAGCTCAAGAGAGCATCACATTATTATTAATAGTAATATTTCTTACCCCCCCCCCCATGGCTAATAATAATAATAATCTCCATGGATGATGATGATAGGCATTTTCCCTGCTCCCCCCTTAAAGCCTTCTGTGTTGGTTCTTTCTTATAGAAACTGCCCAGAGTGTTGGCAAAGAGAAGAGTGCAGAACAGCTGGTTAAATAATAATAGTAATATCACATATTAGGGGACTGGTATAGGTTGTGATGGAGATAGGGCAATGGTAAATGGATGATATGAAACGATAAAAGCAAAATGGTTTAGACATCCATTTAAAAAACCAAACTGCTTAGAAAGGGTTGCGTCCTGTGCTTAAAAACATATTTTTCTTCTCCTTATTCTTAATGTTCATCTCAATTTTAATTTTGCTAGCAGGATATAGTTAGAAAAAATAATCATAATAATAACTTTAATGATAGGAATGTTTCATCACATTACTCTGGATAAACCAATCTGATATAAAAATGAAATGAAGCCTCTTATGAATTGTTTAGCTACCTTGAGCAAAGGTTTCTAGCCAATATCACTGCTGTGTTGGTCTTTATAGCAGAGATAGGTCACTGTGAACCTTCAGTTTTTGAACTACAATTCTCATCATCCCTCACCACTAATTTTCCTGGCTATGGCTGATGGGAACTGTTGGTCAAAAACATCTGGAAGACCATAGCTTCCCATTTGTTCCCTGTAGGATTCTATATACAGTTGGCCCTCCATATCCACTGATAATATTTTTTTAAATCCATGGATTCAAGCATCTGCGGCTTGGAAATAGTCAAAAAATAAATTCCAAAAAGCAAAGCTTGATCTGAGTCCCAGTTCTGAGAAAAGAGCGGGATGCAAATAAATATATGATTTTGCCGTTGTTGTTAAGGGACACCATTTTACTATCTGTTGTGTTTAATGCAACTTGAACATCTGTGTATTTTGGTATTTATGGGGGCGGGGGGTCCTGGAACCAAATGCTGGTGGATATCAAGGGCCCACTGTATTGGGCTGTATATTAGAATGAGGATCCTTTGCTTCCTCCACACATTTTGGACATTGGCACCTAGAAGTCTCACCTACCATAACTAGCAATAAGGGCTTCTGGGAATTGAAGTCTAAAGTGTCTGACAAGCCAGAGGTTCAGAGAATCATAGAGGTGGAAGAGACCACAATCCAGCCTCTGTTTAGAAACCTCCAAAGAAGGAGACTCCACCACAATCTCCGAAGGAGAGTCTTCCACTGTCAAACCGCTCTTACTGTCAGGTAGTTCCTCCTAATGTTGAGGCAGAATCTCTTTTCCTGTAGCTTGCATCTGTTGTTCCGGGTCCTTTTCTCTGGAGCTGCAGAAAACAAGCTTCTCAATATCCACAATATGACATCCCTTCAAATATTTAAACAAGGCTATCATATCACCTCTTCCTAATCCCTGGTATACAGTAGGAGCTAGGAATTCACAAGGTTCTTAAATATGATGGCTAGTTGTTGTGTAGATTACCCTCTGACATTTTCCATGTTGATTTGACAGACACAGCCGAGTCAGCAGATTTCTTATGTGCATGGTGAAGCTTTCCCCCCCCTCTTTTTTTTTTAAACACATTGTTTTAGATATCTGGGGGTTTTCCTAAATCCCCGCCAATTACCTTCTGTGTTGTAACACATAATATCTACAGCTGAATAAACTCTTCTCTGTACCACGGCCCTTGCTATTCTAGATTTCCAATAAAGGATTTGACGATTTGTTATCTCTCACTCGTAGTTGGAACTTGTGGCCATTATTGCTCCTATTTTTGTTTGCAGGTGTAATATTATAAGTTGTTTTATGAAATGAAAGTAAGTAGAAAAGCAAGGATAGTTTTTCTTAGTGTAATGAAATGGTCATCAGAGATCTTGCTATTGATAACTTGCCATTACTGGATGCATATCATGTTACTATTTTGTAAGATTTTAATTTTTTAAAAATTTACTTTATGTCTGGCTAGATTTTGGGGGAAAAAACATATTTCTGAGAGGTGTTATGTTAACAGTGCTAGGGGAGCTAGGTTGTAGTACAAATAATTCATGTACCAGAAATTGTGAAAAGGAAGAAGTAGGTCAAGCACAATGTAGTGGAAGAATGTTAATTCCTGGCTTTTCAGTATGGATTCTTAACAGTGGAGAATTCCTCTTTGTTGATAATGTGGAGTTCTTTTTTGATCCTGACACATTGGTAAAATGAATACTTTGAAAGGGTATTTGGCCAGCATTCGCTGGGTATCCATGAATTGTTAGATTGTCCTGAGGAAACTGCGTTTACAAAATGTGTTTGTAAATGAATAAATTGTTCCAAGAGGTATCACTTGTTCGACAATTTGGTGGGCTCACTGTGGCCTTCAAGGTTTTGTTGGATTTTAATTCCTCTGCGTTCTAGCTGATACAGCCAGTGGTGAGGAATGATGGGATGAAGTTCAGTATCTAAAGGGCCACATGTTTCCCGTGCCTTATCTACTATGTTGCAGACCAGTGTTGCTGAATTTGGACTCTTTGGTAAGAGTTTAATTGTGTTTTTGCTGTACTTTTGTTTCCATCTAAGCTGTGAGCCCCTTTGGCTTCCATGTTGGGAGAAATGTAAGATATAAATTAAATAAGTTCTCAGTTCTGGTGAGTGGGCGTTGAAAAAAAGTGAAGCAATAGTCCAACTTGGGTCAAGAATACCTAGTTTTTATGCCACATATACTGCTGAAGACATCGTACAGCTTAGAAGATATTCTTCTGAAATTTTAGGTTTTGAAAATACTGCAACATAGCAGGACTTGATTTCATGTCTTCTATCAATGAATCTGAGTTCCTTTTATGACATGCCATCTTATGTTTCCTTGTTTGAAAGGATATCCGCAGTCTTTTCAGGGATGAGATATGGAAAACATCAGCTTGGTAAAAACTGAACAAGAGACTTCTGCTGTGGACTCTGATACCAGAAATGTACACAATTGTGTTGATTATCACTTAGTTAATACCAGGTAAATGTGGTAGCTTCAACAGTGTGTTTATTTAATGTATTTCTTAGTTGCCATTGAAAACTTCCCCAGGTCTAGCTTTCAAATAAAATGGATAGGCTAGAACAGAAGGATT